CCTGTAGATGAGTGTAAACTGTAGAGTCCTGGCCTGTAGGTTAGTGTAAACTGTAGAGTCCTGGCCTGTAGGTTAGTGTAAACTGCAGAGTCCTGGCCTGTAGATGAGTGTAAACTGTAGAGTCCTGGCCTGGAGATGAGTGTAAACTGCAGAGTCCTGGCCTGTAGATGAGTGTAAACTGCAGAGTCCTGGCCTCTAGATGTTGCACTCAGAAGAGCTACATTAACAATCTATTGTTAGGCTGATGGTCCTCCTCTGCATGTGAACAGACTGTGTTGATGTTCATCATTAAACCTGTTTGTCCACCATGTGGAGGCAGGCTGAGTTCACCTGAAACTCTCAGACTGAAGAAGTCTCTTGGAGGAGAGATGAAACATTTCATTATAGAAGAACCTGCCCAGAGGACCTACTTAATATTTTTTTTATTTTTCTGCGTGGATTACTGAGATGCATCAAGACATTTAGCAAGCCATTTCATAGCTTTTAGTTTTTACTGGGGTTTCGCTTTTAGCCTGCATGTTGATGCTATTAGCTATCATTTAGCTTTAGTGTTTTAGCTTGTTTGAACTTTTATTTTGCTTCTTTTTGCTTGTAGCTAACATTTTACCACTTTTAGTATTTAACTATAACATTCGGCTTCTTTTAGGCTTCAGCTAGTGTTCTGTTTCTTGTAGCTTCAATAGCTCTGTTTAGCTTCTTCAGTGAAGCTGATGCATCACTCCAGGTGTTGGTGATGCAATCGCACTATCGCCGCCCCTGGGCAGTGTCTCAGGAGTAGTCACCTCAGAGTTTTTGTAACTTTGCAAAAGCTGTGTGCGTCACACATTGAAATAGCTTGTCTGTCAAGCTTTTGCCCTCCCACTTTCACAAGTTACAAATTTTACTGCCACATATACTTTTGGAGAATACAACATTAACAACATAGCATCAAGTATAAATACCTTCAACACTGGGGAGGGTGCATGCATGCCCTGTGCTAGTACCCAAAGAGTGACTATAACTCAACCTTAAAGTGTATTATACCCCCCCTGTGAGGGTTCCGGCAGGAACAAACCCAGGGCGCAGGCAGGCTCAAAAATATAACAAAAATTTATTTTTAAATAACAAAAGGAGGGCTGCTGGCAGCAAACTTACAAATATTGAAGAATCACAGGCACGAGGKAACAAAGCACGAGGAACCAGAACCAACACGAGAAACACAACAGAACAAACAAAATGATCCGACGCCAGACTGAGACAGGACAGGGTTTAAATACACAGACCTACTAATTGATGAACTGAAAACACCTGRBGAGAAACACGAGGGTGACAATCAGACAGACAGGGAGCAGCTGAGCTGTGACACACTGGGGAACACTGAAAACACTAGAAAACTAAGAAAATAAACACAGATCCTGACAGTACCCCCCCCCCCTAATGATCGTCTCCCGACGATCAACAAGGAGAGAGTACGGAACAGGGGGTGACAGGACAAAACAAAACTCAAGGACAAAAAACACGGAGGACTCAGGGAAACAGNAATAATATGTGTGCATATTTAAACAGTGAAAGACAATCTGTGCAGGCTATATATAATCTGACTCCAATAATGTCTGTCTGTCAAAACAAGGCACCTCAAAATGAGCTCATTAATTATCACGAGCGCGTGCATTATCATCTCGTGGCCACGTGATAATTTTTTTTATTCCATGTCACCTGCTCCGTAGAAACGAGAGTACCGGAGAAAATCCATTCAATCATGAGAAGAACATAACATCCACACTGAAAGACCCAGGTCCACCTAGAGTCTGAAACCAAGAACTTTTTGGGGGACAACAGTGCTAACCACTAAGCTGCCGGGCTGGGACTTTTGAATTATCTTAAATGGCAGCGTTATATTCATTTTGGTGAAATCATGTGCATTTATGTATACACTCACACTCAGAATGAGTTGGGGATGACTAATTCTAGGTCGGTATTTGTAAAATAGATTTTCCATTTATTTATTTATTTATTTATTTTTTGGTTGATTATGTTTCTTAGATGTCGTATCTGCCAGAAGTGAAGCAGCGAACATCAGAAAACAGAATCATAACAAGCAAGATGAAACTACAGACGTTAAGACGACAAACAGACCCACAATGCCGAAGGTAGGACAACAAAAAACACGTGCTCACCTTTTATAGTTTCATCACGGTATTGCTGTTTGAATCCCTAAAGTGTTTTTTTTTTCTTTTTCTTAGAGCGACATGTCCATCCCTGCAGAACGAAAGTCCTCCAAAGCAAAGAAAAAAAAAGTGGGACTGTTCAGATGAGATCAACAAGACCCTCACACAGTCAGTTTTTACTTTTAGAAGTCTTCCTTTAACAACATATTTTATTCAGAACTTTAACTTTAAAACCTGAGATTTTACATTATGATTAAATAAATGGTTTTATCATCCAGTTTGATTTAAAGCAAAACTTTGTTTCACTTTTATATTTCAGGAGATAATCTGTTTTTAATGTATCATTCCTTGTGTTATTTTAATTCAAATAAACTTTAAATGAAATATCTGAAAGCTGTCCATTGTTATTTTATCTAAAATATGAACTCATGACAGTTTGTCCTCTGTAACTCAGTCATCAGTGCCATGGAATAGTAATCCTGAGCTGCAGATTCCCAGTTTGCATTAGGATGGGTCCAATTTTAAATAATCTCCAAATGTGACTTACGCTGTCTGCAGATAGGAACAGTCTAAAGAAAAATAACAACAGCTTCTGTAGTCCTGCCTCAGACAGACTGCACACAATGAGTTGCTCTGGGTTGTTTGGGAGCTCTGATGTTGACACAAGGTGTTTCAGCGTTTCAGGAATGTTAATGAGACTGTTTACCTGATTGGATCCAAGACATCCTGAAACCAGTTCTCAGCCTGTTTTCAGTTGTTTGTTGTAAATACTTTGTTTTATTGTCTGAATGCTGAATCTGCTCTGTTGTAATTTTCTGTTTTTTTATTCCATTGTATATTTTAGTCAATAATATATATAAAATTTCAAACATTAATAATGAGATCCCTTTAATTTTCTGTTAAACGTTCTCTTTGAAATCTTCAAAAAAATCTGGCTTTATGTTTTTCTTATGCTCCTATTAGCTTCTAGCTTGTATTTTTCTACCTTTGGCTATATTCTGTTACTTCAAGTTACTGTTGTTTGCTACTTTTTTTCAACCTGTTGCTACATTTTAGACAAGCCTTTTAATATACGTTTTGTTAGTTTTAGGTTTTAACCTATTTTTTTTTACCTATTTGCTACTTTTTGTTAGATCCCCCAAAAAATTAAAAAACAAACATTTTAGTTGAAATTGTGTTACTTGCAGCATTGAGCAGTAGCATGTAGTGAGGTCCATAGCTATTTAGACACTGACAAAGTTTGTTTTTTACCTGTTTACTGAAACATATTCAAGTTATAATTATATAATGTACATGGACATGAAGTCCAGGATTTCAGCTTTCATTTGAGGGTATCCACATTAAAACTGGATGAAGGGTTTAGGAGTTTCAGCTCCTTATGTGCCACCCTGTTTTTACAGGGACCAAAAGTAATTGGACAATTGACTCCAAGGCTTCATGGGCAGCTGTGTGTGCAATTCCTTTATGTCATTCTCAATGAAGCAGATAAAAGGCCTGGAGTTGATTTGAGGTGTGTTGCTTGAATTTGGAAGATTTTGCTTAAAAAAACGAGGTCAAAGGAGCTCTCTGTGCAGGTGAAACAAGCCATCTGAGAACATTTGAGTAATTATTACAACATTAGGAGTGGCAAAATCTATAGTTTATTCATCCTAAGAA